CCTGGTGGATCCGTCTGAGCAGCAAGCCTGAACTGGCGAGCACTTGCGATCCGGGCGAGAGCTTCAGCCCCCGTGATCGCATGGCTTGGACTAAGGCCCTGGCCCCTGCAATCGTGGCGTTAAGGACTATGGGTTCCGGACCTCGGGTCAGCACGCTGATGTCGTCGACCCTGGTGCTGAGCTCCATGGGGCGCTGCCCTGCACGCGCCTGCCCCATCACTTCGCAAAGGCAGGCCCCCATCCAAGCAATGACTGGATACAACCCTGCTAGATGGAGCGGTCCATGCGGATAAAATGTGACGCTTCAGCGCCCGCGGTTCAAACTCTGTCTGCAGCTTGCACGGCCACGCCGAGGCGCACGATGCCAGGGGGACAATCGCGATTCTTCCCCAAGCAATATCCAAAGAGGGCTCAGCGCGTCGAAGAACTTCCCGGCGCCGAGAAGCACTAAGGCCCAGCCGCAATCGATCCACGAAGCACCTGCTGCACGGGCAAGTCGAAGCACGGCAGCTCTCAGGGGGTCCAATCCTTTCACCGCTAAGCCCCGGGAGCCCGCGCGGGCTTGTTCCCACTGAGTAACTGGATATTTTCGGATTAGGCCCCGCACTCGACGCACACTCTGGGATCGGGCGATCGGGCGGTCCCCTTCTCCTCTGGGCTCGGGACGCATGCCCACCTCATTGACGAGCATTTGGGCTGGCCGTCTGCACTCGGTCTCGATGGGCGCCAGGAGATCCAGAAGGGCTCGATGGCCTTGCGGGGGCAGATCTGCCCACAACTGAGGGCGCCACTTGCAGGCGCCCTTCCCCGCGCTGGCCAGAAGACAACGGCGCGCGGCCACCAGCTGCCGGGGGTCAATCGGCGGCGGGGTCGCCGTGGACTCCTCGAGGGCCTCCTGCCTGAAGGCGCGCCGCCAGTCCAGCTCGGCGGCCTGCCCCTGTCCGCGAGGGTCAGTCCAGAGCGAGCTCCACCGTCGCGCCTCTACATGTAGGGTTTCGCCGGTGCCCCAGAGGGGCGCCCCCGAGATGTCGACCTCTATCTTCGGGGTGGGCCCCGGCAAGACCCGGGTTCTGGCACGGTGATGGGCCCACTTAGCTCCCCCTCTGCGGCTGTTCTGGGACTGCTGCTGGAGGCCCTCCTGCCACTCGCGGCATACCGCTTGGTCAGCCTAACCCCGAAGACGCCTGCGACGCACGCAGCCGCGCGGACCCCTTCGACGCCCAGGTCCTGGATGCTGCTGGCGCCTAGGAAGAGCCCCCTGCAGGCCTCGCGGGCCTCCGATGGGGATCGCGCAGGGAGCCGCCGAGGAGACCATTGGATAATGGCCCCGACCTTGTGCCTCCTGAGCTTCTCATCATCCGCGTCAGATACGATGGGGGCCCCGATCGGATCGTAACAGCACGCGAGGACCGTCTTCCAGACAGCAAGCTGCTCGGCGCTACCTGCTCGAGACGATGGGCCAGCGGGCGCGGCAAGCTTCGCCCCCAGCTGCGGCCCTCATCCACGGCGGCGTCGCACAGGCCGCGCCAGGGCGCCCTGCGCGGGAAGATGCAGCGCCTCAGCTGCAAGGAAAAAACAGCGCGTTGCCTGGAAACTAAAAATACACGCACAGGTTTCCTCAGCGTTGCACTCTATCCTCGGGGCCCGGGCACCAGGTCGCGGGCGCTCTGGGCAAAATCACCCCGCTGAAGAGCCAGCCACTGGAACCCAATGGGGGGCGGGGGCGGCTCGATCAACACTTGCATCTGCCTGGCGACGCACTGCTTGCGGATCCCACCAATGAGCCCGACGCGCGGCTGTGCCCACGGGGCCTGGAAATCACGCTTGAAGGAGTGGTCCTCGCGGAGGGGCCTGGAGACCAGCAGCCAATCAGTGACCCGCTTCC